TGGCCATTGTATATCATTCGTTTACACAATGAAGCAGAAGTAAATCAAAAGCCATTACATGCAGTTGGCCAGACAGTTGGGTAAACTGGTTAAGGTCACTCTTCAAAGACTTTGATTATACTGTATGTGTACATCATGACATTTTATTAGTTAAAGACATTTCCCACGACAGAGAAAAGTGTTTGACATTGCTCACCAGATTGTGTTTGATGAGATCATTGGCAAAACTGAAAGAAGGACTTGCTGTCTCCTGTAGTGTCTTCAGCTCTGCCTGAGAAAGAAACAAAAGAAGCCAAAAAGTTAAAGTGCTTCTAACTAATATAATATCAAGACACACGGTTGGACAGACAAGCAAATAGACAGGACAGACAGACAGACAGACAGACAGAGAGACAGACAGACAAATAGACAGAACAGACAGACAGACAGAGGCAAATCTCACCTCAGCTGCTTTCCCATTATACAGTCTAAAGTGGTTGCAAGCTTTCAAGTTTACAGCAATTGCACTATCATAAAAAGAAAACACAGTTCAGTCAAAATAGCTGTATGTAATTAAAACTTATAAAAAAATTGAAAACAAGGAAATCAAGAGGCATTTCAATCATGTTTTTTTGTTATTATCATAACATGTGAAACTCACCATCACTATTAATATGAAATACCAATACTGTATCTTAACTCTTTTGAAACTCAACTCAAATTAAAGTTCAACACCACAACTATTACTAAGTTAAACAGTTACCTGTCAGGATAATGTTGCAGATAAACTGCTAAGACTTCCTGTATGAAAATATCAAATAAAAATTTGCATTACAAAATCACATGACATTACTTGTGCATGTATTGGTAATAAAAGTAAATCATATATTGTTATTGTAGGTAAAAATTCTTTTTTTTTTTCCAATGAAAAATAAAACTGACCACATCTCGTTTTCACTGCAATTTGATTTACACACCTTTGTGCTATCACAATCCAAAAATACCTGCACCACCTTGAGTTATATTTATTGGTACAAGATTTGACTCAGAGAAGAACAAAAAAATTAAATTAAATACTTGCCTGGGAGACATCATAATAGTCCAGCTTGTAGTAGCACAGTGCAACATACACATTTAAAGCCAGGTAATCCCTAATGACAATGACAATGGTCACAACAAAACAGTGAATGACAGTGGACTTTGATGTAATACAACTAGTTCATTGTAATAGTTACTGTAGTTTTTCAACAAATTCACCACCAGAAGACTTGATCGCTTAATATAACCTCAAGGTGATAAATTAACAGTTTTGCACAAATGGAGTCAGCTTGTGTAAATAAGGTTATTTTTTTTGGTCTGTGTAAGATATTAAAATTTGCATTTGATAAATTGGTGACAAGATGATGCCAAAATGTCATGTATGTATACTTGTCTAACATTAATTTAATACTTTCTTAATATTTTATTTTACTATTCTTTTTTAAACCACATACAGTTTATAACTCACACACTATTGATACTAAATAAATACTACATGTACACTGTACCTGTTGTCAAGAAGAATCCTCTTGTAGATGTCAATAGCTTCTTGGTAATGACTTCTCAGGTAGTGAATAGATGCCAAGCTCAACTATCCAAATCCAAAGAATTATTAAATCATTAATGGTACAACTGTTACATAGAATCAGCAATCAATTCATTTCAAGACCCTATTAAGTTATTTCATAAATACTGAGAATCAAAAGTAGTGGCAAATTGTCAATAAACAACAAGAATTGTGTTGAAATTCCATCTGTGAAATATCGACTTTCAAAATCGCAACATAAAACAGTAGAAATTCAGACAGGGAATAATTGAATAATCCCCCCTGAAAGGACTATACTAAGCTAAGAGGCATTAACTGGCTAAAATCACCTAAAATCAGCATAGTAGACAAATATCACAGCAAGTAACACACCGTACCTCACGCATTTTTGGTTCAAATTTTTTTTAGTATTCCTGGTTCCCTAAACAAATCATAGATAATTACCATACCCCCATACAAACTCTGATGTTATTACTACAGTGTATCATGTCTGTTGACTGGCAGTTTGAGCTTGGGCTGCCTGTGCTTATGTTGTAATTAGCAGTTTAAAATGTTTCTGGGTCTGAACAAAAGGCTGATCAAGATTCCACAATAAATATCAGTAAATATTCATAAACAAAGTTCAGACTGAAACTAGTCAATCAAACATTCAAATATTGTACTTTGAATGAAAAGATTGTTTTGTTGACCAAGACTAGCAATTGTAGTCTATCCATAGGTCTACAATTGGTTTTTCTGTGAGTTATTTTCCTTTGATTGTGCAAGAGCGACTATGAAGTCTTTCCTCAGGCCTACCCCATTGTGTTTTGGCTTGTCCATATCCCTCAAGGTTAATATTTTGCTTGCAATCTCAACAAACTCAAGAAAACATACAGTGGTAGAGGGTCTGTGGATAGACTACCAGTAGATAATTGCAACAGTTTAAATACATGTAACCAGGACACAGTTAACAATCTATTAAATACTTTTAATAACTATTTAAATTAAATTAATCACATACCTGGTCCTCGATAATATCCTGAAGGGCCTGATGATGGGTCATGAGCCTCTTCTCATCATTAAACTGTGGATCAGTTCACAATTCATGCATGAGTAACAATCTTAATCTGTTGACTACTGATTACACATTATTGCATCTATGCCAACTCTCCTGGATACAGACCGAACTTCCTACTCTCCTGTACAGGTCACCAATTCACCCAGATATGAAGGAAAGTGCTAAAATTACATTTTCAGACTATTTTTGCAGATTTTTAGCATTTTCTAGGGAAAACTGTGGAATATTTTGCCTATTTTTTGTGAATCAGCAGGGCTCTACTTTTAACAATGTTTGTTTGTTTGTTTGTTTGTTTGTTTNGGGGGGGGTCAAGAGAAGGTAAAATTGGATTTTGATTTTCTTAGGTCAGCATCTCTAACAATGATATTCAGACACTAAACAACATCTTCAATCATGTTCTTAGAAGTTAAATACTGGTTTTCCAGATCTAATACCTTGTGGGAAAGGTGAAACAGCAATCTGTTTTGAAGTCTGCTCTTTGGACCTGATCAAAACAAGTTTTTGTGTCATCAACTTTGTTAGTAATTTATTAAATAAATATAATTAATACTTGCTATTATTATATGGCTCAGTCTCACAAGGACTGGGAACTACCAAATTCACAAATTTGATTGGCTGAAATTGATATTAAAAGCGGTCTAGATTTTTCCATCTAGACTGGCATCTGGACTGTTAATGTTTTGCAGTGAAAAAGTTGCAAACTAAAATGCAAAATCACTGACTATTTTCATCTAACAATATTTATTTATGGAAGTGCCAAAAAGCCTGATGAGAAAAAAAAAGTAAAGAGGACGAGCAAACTTTGGCAGAATTAAATTGAGCTCATTGCTGTTCGCATGAAAATGTCAGTTAGTACGTACAAACCAGTTACATTAAACGAATTAAATTGTTCTTGTTTGCGCCATATAAGAAACATCTTATTAACTGAGCTTAGTTGGCCGATATGGGAGAATCTTGACCTCAGTCTGTACTCATGACCTAGGTCAAGATTCTTCCATACAGACCTCCTCCTCACTTAATAAGAGCTAAATAATATTAAACACCTAAGCCATGACAAATCCACAAATTAACCAAGGGAAAGTACAAGCATATAGTAGATCTTTAAGGGATACTACCTTAGTTATTAGATTTAGGGGAAACTATGTCTTCAGCAATGGGACAATCTTCATTTAAGCATGCTGCTGCAAAGGACTGGAATGATCTTCCCAAAGAGTTAAGGGAACTCAGCACTGTTTTTAGCTTTAAAAATAAGGTTTTTAGTAAGTATTTCTAAGATGTAGATCTCAAGGAACATAACTGTACTGCTTGTTAGCAGGTGTACATATATTTCTGATTTTTAATATTATTCTGATATTATTGTGTGAAATTATGTATTTTTAGATTGATATATTTTATATTGCTTATCACCAGTTTATACCAGCTGCTCTCTTAGTTCAGCTGATCGGTTGTTGTTGTTGTTTTTTTTTATGAGGATAAATAAAGATTTTTATGTTATTTTATCATTATTATAGTATCCCAGGCTGCACTGGCATACAGTTGTATTGATATCCCAAAACAATGAACTGGTGCCAGCCATGTTGGCGTCCTAAACCAATCATGAGGCAGTTGAACTATTTTTAATGTTAGTTAACACTTCCTTTTGTTAAGACTGGGAGCAGTCTCTCTTTTGCTCGCAAATCCGTGGGGAAGAATGTAACGAAGAACACAAAACAACATTGAGCGTGCGAGCATCACATGCGTACACGCTCGCAGTCACGCTCACACGTTCACTTGATTTGCGTTCTTCCCCACAGATTTTCGAGCGAAAGAGAGACTGCTCGCAGTCTACCTTTTGTTCCAATAAATTTGCAAGGCTGCTGGCCAGATGAGTGAAAAATTGCTAGACAGTAAGTGTTAAACATTTTAAATTATTAGAAAGGCCGTTAGAAATAGTTATTCTTTTTACCTTAGTACATGTAGTAGTACGTAATTAATATTAACCTTTCAAAAAATATAAACCAAAGGATGTTCAGTGCTCACCACTTGCCCTTGCATAACCTGCTACATGCAGTTTGGAGACTCACCTTTCAAAGCCATCTCATCACCCTCCTTGTACATTCCAAGGAAAAAATAACAGCAAGCCAAATTAACCCAAACATCTGGATGGCAAGCTTCACTTTTGGTCAGTGCCAAGTATTCCTAAAAAATGTCAGTAGTAACAAAAATTTGACAAGTTGATGACAGGAGAAAAATAACTTGTTATTTAGTCATGAGACATTTTCCAAACTCTACTTGGTAGGTAAGGTAGGTTAAGTCTACATACGAGCCAAATGGCCCATTAGGCTGGAGCTTATCATGGTTTCAGTGGCATGAAGCGACTAAGAGTGTTTCTACTCCCCCCTGGATGGGATGCTAGTCCATTGCAGGGTTACTCCCAGCATTAAATTCGCCAGTACCCATTTATACTCCTGGGTGGAGAGAGGCACTGTCAGAATAAAGTGTCTTGCCCAAGAACACAACACAATGTCCCCAGCCAGGGCTTGAACCCTGAACATTCGCTCCAGAGTTGAGCGCACTAACCATGGGGCCACCGTGCCGTCAACTGTCCAGATGTTAGATTGCATGGGAGGTCTGTTACGTTTCATACAATATATCTTTTTTTTCTTTTCATACAATGTATCTTTTATGACAAGTTCATGGTTTCCAAAAACTAGCATAGACAGAAAATGTCACCTTCATAATATATGGAAGTCAGATGGTTTCTATTTACCACCTCACTTGCTTTTTGTCCAAGGTGAAATAACTTTGACACTGCATACTCCAACACACGTGTCACACTGTACAGTTGTTGCTTTGTATTTCGATCCTTTCAGATGTTGCTCGATTTAATTTTATAGGGAACAAAGGTGATGATGATAATGACAAGGTGATGACATGGGGAGGAGATCAAAAAGCATGGACCTTTTTTCCAAAGAAGTCTACAGACGTTTAATTTCGCTCCAAGCTCACATTGCTTATGTGCTCAAAGGAAAATAACTTGTACCAAAAAATATACATGTACGTCTCAGTATGGACAGACTATTCAAGTACATGTAAGTTCTGCATCATTGTTCAATGGTGTGGCACTAAAAATCTGTATGGTGGAACTATATCATATGGTATTCTTCAGTCTAGTGTACATGTATGTTGTAAAACATCATGTGCAGCAGTAAAATGCTGTAGGAAATCTGTTCTTTGGCTCTGTGCATGACAAGCAACCACACTTCATTACAATTTACCTCCATGCTTTTCTTGTAATCTCCCAAATGAAATGCTGTGTAAGCAATCCAAAGATTTGTCTCCTCACTTGCCTTTCCAGAATTTCGATTAAACTGAAACAAAGAAGTTCACTTCATCTGTTCAAACACAGGGTGTATAAGAGACAGAGAGATCGTCGCAAAGAAAAGCAGATTGCAATCCAAACCTAAGCAAGTTTCAAATTGCCAGAGATCCAAAGAATGCATGTATTTTAATTTGCTCTAACTCTGCCTGAATGGGTGACTTAAGTCTATCACATTATACCCCTCCCCCCGTCCTGGATAAAAAAAACATTGTCGCTACCTATTTGCACACCTGGAGAGAGGCACTGGAAGAGTAAAATTAATTACATGTATCTTGTCCAAGAACACAAATATGCAATAGCCCATTGCAAAAATGTGAGAGGACTAGGAAAGAGTATGGCTGTTTTCCGTTTGTTTGAAAAAACTAAGATATTCAAATGAAAGATCAACTAAATTTGAGAGTCTTAAGCAAGAATAGAAGTATTTGGAGGAGGAAAAGGGCAAAATAATAGCTCTTCAAATATCACCTAAAATAGAGAGTTTTTATGGATTGGGTAGACAGGCCACAAAATTGTAAGGGTTTGTATGGAATTTTGCAACTTTTGCAAGGCTCCCATTTAGACAATTTTCCACTAAAAACTCTCAAACTTGACTGGGTAGCTTTTCATTCAGTAACACTTCAGTTGAAATGTTTAGATTTTCAATCTAATCAATATAACACACTCATCCCAGTCCTCTCACGTTTTTC